AAAGACGGTACATGATGATAATGATGATGATGATGATGATGATGATCACACTAGATCTAGTGTTCAGGGAGGTTCAAATAAGTAAAGCTCAGAATAAGTAAGAAAATTAAATACCATATCGGAGAAAAGGGGAAAACCCCCAGAAATTCAACTGAATCTCATTCCGTTGCCAAGATGCGCAATAGAGACAGGGCTGGGAAACTCAAATGGGGCTTTACTGTCTGAAAATATTGACTTTGGCTTAAGGGTGGCTACAGTAGTTTGACAACATAGAGCTGACAGAGTTATGGAAAAATGGTTGGGTTGGATTGAATGTTAGAAATAATCACGAAGCGTCTATATAATCAAATAATCTCTGCTTCCCTTCCTAATTTTGAAACATTGTCGCAGTCAAATTTACCCATAGACGTAAACCTCATAAATTAAATGTTAAGAGACGTTCATAATCACCAATGAACAATAGACTATGCCTAACCTTCAAAACCGTTTCATTGCCACAGAAATAGCCTTTTCGCCCCTATCGGGCCACTCCATAAGCAGTCACAAGCTTTGATTAAGTAAGCTTAAAATGAGGCTGGAAGAGTCTACCAATAGAGTTGAAGGGAACATGTGCATAGCAGTCAAAACTGTTTCATTGTCACATATACCCTGTTCACCCCTTTCGAGTCACAGTTATAATCAACCACACCCGCTGATTATGTAAGCTATTATACTGGTCGAGTCTACCTCTCAGATATGAGGGGAACTAACTCCTAATAATCTCTTGGCTGCTACAATTGCTTGTTGTTGTTTTTTCCTGGACTTTTTAACGTCCTATAATCCGATCGTGACCTCGATTACGACACCGGGTCCTGCCCGCGAAAAGCCAGACAAAAACAGCCAAATGTGAAATTTAAAAAAATAATAATTAGCATGCTCTACCAAAGTGTTTCGGCTATCTGGTATAACATGCCATTGTAGGCCTAGTACTGACATCTCTGCTTCTTTCTTTGGTGTTCGTGTGTTCAAATCTAAAGTTAAATTTAAGGTTATTTAGAATAAATATGTAATTAAATACTTTCCCGATTATTTTAGCGGTTGAATATGCATACAACATGAATTCAGGATTTGTTTTCATTCACAACTCAGAGTTGCCGCCTCCAGTGCCAGTAAAATTATTGTGACTTGTGTGAGTGTGATATCTCCAGGCCCTCTCTGGTCCCATCTCACTTTGATTACCCTGTCAAAAAAGTCAGCCTTCTCCCCTGGACACTACTACTACACTGTATTTATTTCTTTATTTTTGCGCTAAAATTGTTTTGAAAAATTGACAGAAGTGGACTGATACATTCGCCCTTTATGGTACTACTTATAATGGAAGCAAGAAACAAGCAAGCGAGCGAGGAAACAGAAAAACACATTCTTTAAATTTTTTTAAAAAAAGAATTAGAGTAGGGCGTTTGAACAACACAGATCGTTATCCACAGGCCGCATTTTCATTTCGCTGAAGGTGACAGAGTCCGTGAAGCCGGTCACCGGCAGCCAGTTCAGGCCATGTCCATACTTTGTGTTTCCCCAGTCGCCGTTCAGGTGGACGTGGTGACATTGCGTGTACCACCAGCCTCCGTGGTAGTGTGCGGCACAGTTTATCCCAAAATTGTCGTGGTCACGGTCAAAGGTGGAGAATGCTTGACCATTGTGATACGACATTGTGTCTTCAGCATTGCCCGAATATCCGGATATCCGGATAGCGTAGTTCTCCGGTTCGCCCAAAAGAGAGAAGCTACTGTATTTAGCGTAGTAGTTCTTTCCTTGGTAGGAGAAGTCAATTCTCAGTTCATATCTTTGCTGTGGACGAGAAAGCAACAAAGGTAAAAGGTCATAAATACACACGTGGCTTCATCTCACCCACACTTACGCAGTTATGACGTCACACACCCCTTCATGACATCAGGTAACCACCCATGACGTCAGGTACCTACTAGTTCACTTCAAGCACCCGTTCAAAACGTTATGCACCCACCCATGACGTCACGTTTCCATCCATGACGTCACTTATGACTAACTCGTGGCGTCATGTACCCGCTCATAACGTCAGATAGTCGACCATGACGTCATTCACCCACCCATGACGCCAGGTACTTTCTCATGATGTCACGCACAGGAATAGCGGACAAATTATGATCCACAACTACAGGAATCAACTGTTGGAAGGACGTGCAGTACGTCTGAATGCGACTCCGATTTGCCACTATTTACTCAGACTTTTATTCTACAATGGTACTCGAAAGAACAGGGAACAACCCCCCCCCCCCCCCCCAAAAAAAAAAAAAATTAAAATTAATAAATAAATATATATAGATCTATATAAAAAATAATTTAATTTAAAAAATACAAACATAAAAAACATTGGCACTCGAAAGAACAACGAATGAAAACAGCAGCAAAAAGTAATCACAATAATGACAGCAACAGTAACTATGGCTAAAACAGCAATAGCAGCAGCACCATCAACAGCAACTTCACCTTACTGCTGTTTTTCAGCCACACCCCTGATCTTCAGGTAGGAAAGATCTACACCTAGCCTTCTCGGACAAGGGCGAAAAATCTCGGAGGTCCCTTGTGCACGTTGCGCACTTTAAAATCCCTTGGGGGTCTAAAATCGATAAGAGTAGGCTTCGGCGGCCGCCCGGGCAAAATTCAAAATTTCCTACCCACTGAAAATGTTTAAAGTGTCCTGCGCGCTCATATGCCCTTATGCAGTTGCAAGCGCCGTAAAACACTTACCCAAACAAACAAAAACTACCAACAACTACAACAACGACAATAGGAACTACCCTTGTAACTACAATGATCGCGCAGATACAATGACATGTATTCAAATTCGTTAACTTTTATTTCTTCTTCTGTTTTTATTACTCTTACATACAGCAACAACAACAAATATAACAACAACAACAACAACAACAACAACAACAACAACAATAACAACAACAACAAAAACACCATCACTACCACCACTACGACTACCACCACCATCAACAACAACAACAAAACAACAACAACAGCAACAACAACAACCACAACACCAACAACAACCACAACAACAACAACATAAACAGTAATAATATCAACAACAACAACAACAACAACAACAACAGCAACAATATCAACAACAACAACAACAACAACAATATAAAGTACAATGACATGTTTTACAAGAACAAAGAGTGACTCACCATGCTGGTCAGTTTGTGAATTTTCTCCAGACCCATCCAGAAGTTTCCATGGATGTTGCCGAAGCCGTACTTGTACTCGACCCAGTTGCGGTAAAAGTCCACATCAGCTGATGCACGTCTCTGCACATGGATTGAGACATGATTGAAAAATGAATACAACATATTGTAAAATGATTGTAAAACGATTGTGAAATGACAATAAAATAACTAAAATGGATACAACTTGACTGTAAAATGAATACATATTATTATTGGAAAAAAAATGAGTGTAATATTGTCGTAAAAGGAACGTAAAATAATTGTTGAAAGATTGTAAAATGAGTCCAGATTTGTGGTAGCATAACTGTAAATTGTTTATAAAATCATTATCCGAATCAAAGCCCAGTATACAAATTAAAGGGAACACAGGGGGGAAAATGCTCGCATAAAAACCTGAAACAGGGCCGAGAAGTGCCTTCACTATTACAGAGACTTCACCAGAAGGCCATACTATTAATACAGGGAAATAATCCAGCTTTATACCTGAATCACGACCCAGTACATTATTACAAGAAAGTAATCTACTTTTGGAAATGACTCAAGACCCAAATAAATTACTACAGGGGCGTGGTCTCCATTTGTAAGCCTACCTGAATGGCTACCTATATTTACCCCCCCCCCCCCCCCCCAGTAAGAATAGCTCTATTGTCCCCCGTAATTCTCACCCCCACCCCGGGGGGGAAAATGGGGGGGGGGGGCCCCCCCCCCGCCCCCTTCCCAAGGGGGAAAAAAACCCCCCCCCCCCCGAGGGGGGTTTTTTGGATGGGGGTGGGAAAAAAA